TGTTGGACACCGCTATAAACCTGTAAAGGATTCCTGTAGCCGTGTCATTGTTATAGTACTGCTGTTAAGAAGGCCACAGTACTGTAACAATATTTCTAAACTAGAGCTCAATTAAGGTCTTTGTAATGAATATTATCAGGAGCAAATAAAGCTATCTACTAGTTTACAAAAAAAAAAAGAACCAAAACAAGAGCCTAAACCACAAGATATTATAAATCAGCAAGCACAACAAATTTTACAACTTCAAAAGAAAAATGAATAGTTAAGCCAGTTACTTTTTCTTTATATCAAGATTATATACAATTAATCTAATAGCAAGAGGAAAGAAATAGACAACAAAGCCAATTTTGGATGCAATGCTTTGCCCAGCCTGCATCTGCAGAAAAAACAGAATTCCAAAAAGAAGAATTAAATTCTCAGAAAGTCTATACTGTGGGACAACTAGAACTAGAAGAGAAATACTTGTTAATTTCAAAAAATCATATAGAAACAGGTCAACTTATAACTAAATAAAGCAAACAATTTAAGAAATTATTAGATGAATTTGCAGATTTATTTGTCAAGAATATTAATGAACTAGAAAGAACTGATATTGTAAAATATCAGATTTATACTGAAAATATGTCTCAATAAAATCCAGGCCTTACTTTGCTTCTCTGAATAAATAAGCATTTATTGAAAAAGAAATTAAAAAGATGTTAGAAATAAGTTGATTCGGCATTTCAAAAGCCCTTAGACTTTACCTGTGGTTCTTGTCAAAAAAAAGAATAGAAAATTATGGTTTTGTGTAAACTATAAAAAACTTAATAATATTACTAAAAAGGATGCTTATCTCTTTCCTCGTATTGATGAAATACTCAATGCTTTGTCAGAAGCAAAATGGTTTTTCATCTTAGATCTTGCTAGTAGATACTGGCAAGTAGAAATAGACTTCAGAGATAAGAAAAAGACTGTATTTGTAACTTGTTATGGTATCTATGAGTTCAATGTCATACTATTTGGTGCATCTACTATATTTTGAAGACTTATAAATCATATTTATTAAGATATTAATTGGAAGCTTGTAGTTGTATACTTGGATAACACTAATATTTTCTTATAAACTTTTGAGGAATATCTAAACCACCTTCGAATTGTATTCCAAAGGATCAGAAAAGCAGGTCTCAGGCTTAATATTGAAAAATACAAG